TTTATAATTTATTATATTTTATAACAAAAAAAAAACACAAATAAAAATTCATAATCATAAAAATTCATTTCAATTTTTTTAATGACTGATGTGATATTGAATATTGTTAAACTCTTTCTTATTACACAGCCACCACTAAGACCAATTGTCAAAGGTCATTATGAAGAAATTGTTCAAACAAAATCACCAGAAGAATTATTTATTATTATGTTTCCATTACAAAATAAATTCTTTCTTGATGCAGACATTCCTTTTGAAGATAAATTTAAAGCAATTAATTGTTGTATTGAGGCATTAAAACCTGAAAAAGCAGAAAGTATATTAAAATTGATTGAAATTAATTATTCTTTAACAAACCACAATGGTGTTATGCCAAAAGAATGTGTAGGTTTTATCTCTGAAATGCTAAAAGACATAAGTGGCATAAGACGGTCAGTTGAAACTTTATTAATTAATAACTCTACTTCTTGGAAGGAGTTTCTTCAAACTCATTTACAACGTACTCTTTATTGCCAAGACTTTCTTAAAACACAGTCAGTCGTTCCTATTGAAGTTCTTCTTGAACCTATTGCTCCTCCAGCAGAAATTGCTGATAAACAAATTAGACTTGAATGGCAAAAAAATCAAATCATGGAATTGCTTCCTTTTGCTTCACAAGAAAAACTTATAAATATTACAAAGCAACTCCAAGTTATGGGTCATAAAGATACTTTAGATTATGAGTTTGAGATTGATAAATTTAATACTGAAGAGGTACAACAATTCTTAAACATATTATGTAATTAATTATTGACTTATATAAATGTTTATTTAACTCAAAAGCGTTTGTAATGGATTTATTGACTTAAAAATTTTTCATTCATAACTCTGGAATTCTTTTTCTAAAAATAGTATATAATACAAAGAAGAAATATTAATATAAGAATTAATTTATTATTAATTCTTTTGTTTAATATATCAAACAATTTTATAACAGAGAAGTAAAAAGAGTTGTTTTTGGTTATAAAATTAATTATAATAAATTATAATACATTTAAAAATTTTTAAATATGGTTTTATATTTGAAATGAAATTTAGTTTTTGGTTATTCAAGACTTACTTATACTAAATCTTATTTCATTTTCTTTCTTCTTTTTCTTGACATACGGATCGAAGGTAGCACGTCTGAAATACCACATACAAACACTAATACATTTCAAGATTCGACTCTCTCAGTTATTATTTTGGTTATGATGGTGTCTTTAAATTAGAAAAGTATTAGTTAATATTGAAAATAATATATCATGTTATTATGATTTAATTTTACTTATTGTAATATAAATATTGTTATTTATTAATAAAGAAAATATAAATATATGAAGGTATTAACTAAGGAAAAGGATTTGCTAACGTGTGGTTAAGACTAAAAGGAAATTAATCATAATAATATAGTGGTAATGAAATATTCTCTTCGCTCTTTCATTAAATAAAGAAAAAAAAGCAAATGAAATTGTTTAAAATTAAGGCAAAAAACAAATAAAAGATTAAAAGGAAGAAATAAGTAGAAAGTTTGAGAATACTTTAAAAGGAAGAAATAAAGCAAAGAATTGAGTTTCTCATTTCCAAGAAAAACCTAAAGAATAAATTAAATAAATGAGTTATTCTTTTTAAAAAATACGTTCGGGATGGGATTAGTCTCCGCTGAGCAAGGAAGAATAAATGAAATTTCTATTAACACTTAATTAACTAATTGTTACTTAAATTTTTTGATACATCATTTTGTTCTTTCTCTTGTTTTAGTTCTCAGTCGTTTGTGTTTTGTTTATTACCTGTAATAATATAATATGTATATGATATTTTTTTTCATTTAATATTTCTTTTTTTATAATACATTAATTACATTGAATT